TCAAAGTTCCACTGCCCGTTGAAAGTCTATTTTCAATGTCAGTACGTGCTCTTCTATAGCCCGACCCAAAGGAACCATGGTTTTCAGGATCCGTTTGGAAAGGATGACTTACGATATGAGCCTGCTGCAACGGTCCAAGATACTGCGTCCAGTCATCAAACAAGTAAACCCCATCACTCCGCAAAGCCTTAACAGCAGCAACCGTCTTGAGTCCCTTGTAGGTGACGGGGATCTTCAAGTCGGCTCCCGCAACGGCCGTGGAGCTCGTCGCACTCGCCACCGGGACATCCCACTGCACGATTTCGACCTGCGACGTCGCTCCCGCGGAGAACGTCAAGGTCAGGTTCGCCTTGCTCCCCGGCGCAGCAGTGGCACTTAAATACTTTGACAAAAAGGCGGCCTTGAAGGTTATTGAGGATGCCGATGCGGTGTAATCCGTATTCGCAGCCAACGTGGTTCCAGTGTTGGTCTTCACCGATTGCAACGTGTTGCCGTTGAACAACCAGGGGAGAGTCTGATCCGCCGGCGCAGTGCCAACCTTGTTCCAGATGTATGCGGATGATGACTGCGTCGTGGCTGATGCATCCGTAGTGCTATCCGGCAAGGAATTCTTCACCCCCTTGACGGCGGTATTCAGAATGGCGAGCGAAGTCGGGTCTCGCCAGGCATGGGCACTGCGATCAAGATGATCCAACCCATTATCCCAAATCACAACAGCAGTATTCAACTCCGCCGCCGTCCTCACAAACTGATCCGTCCACTTCCACCTTGCAGCAGGCTCAGTATTCAGCGGACTCGCGTCAAACTCCCCAATCACCAGCGGCACATCCGAGAAATTCCCCCTCACAATCGCCATCTCGTTTCTCATGGCAGCCTTATCCGCGTCCGAGCCCCAAATCGTCTTGCCCCACGCGGAGAAGATGAAGTCGTACGGGCTGTAGACGTGGTAATGCAGCACCCATGGGTTCTTGATGCCCGCGGGCGCCTTGAACCACTGCGTCGTCTTGGTGGCGTCCATGCCGCCGCCGACGAGGTTGACGACGCGGCGAGTGTTGAAGCCGCCGCTGTCGGCGAGGGATTTGAGGAAGAGGTCGTTGAGGGTGTTTATGCGGGCGCCGTGGTCGGCTGTTGTGGCGGGGGGTTCGTTGATGGATTCGAAGGAGACGAGGTTGGGCTTGCAGGCGAGCTTGCGGCCGATTTGGAGCCAGAGATTGTAGAATTTGTCATTTAGGGCTTGAACGTCTGCATCTGAGGTCGCTTTTGTCACGTCGGCCCAGTTCCAGGAGTCTATTCATGGCGCGTCAGTTTGTTGATAAATGGATGGAAATGGGTGTTCTTACCGTGATGGACGTTTGTGAGAACATAAAGGCCTCGGGCAGTGGCCATGTCAACTACATCCGAAACACGTTGCAACCATGCCGCGTCAACGGTGTAGTTGGGCGCTGCGCTGGTGAAGTGATCATTGTAGGTGACTGCCGTACCGTCAATATCGATGGTGACACATATTAGATATGGTTATAGGCTCACCCGGGATACGAACGCTCTTGAAACCGGCAGCCTTAACATCATCGAACGTCTTTTCGACAACAGGTGGGTTGTTCCAAGATCCCTCGTTAGGGATAGCATCAAGAGTGTTGCCCAGGTTCCACCCCGGGGTCATAGCCTTGACATAATCCGCCCCAGAGATGTCGCTGAAAGAACCAGAACAAGCCGTGGGCGCTGCGCTGGCAGACGAAGATCTAACAGAGCTTGTTAACTGAGATGAGCTTGTCGCGCGTGAAGTTGCAGTTGTTCCAGCAGGGGGCTTCGAAGTTGACGTAAGAAGAGTGGTTGGCGAGGAGCCAGATCCCTCGAGACACTGTGAGTACCCTGGCACTGGAATTAGATGTTGTTCATGAGGGACCTGGGCAGAGACTTACACTCGTTTGCCTTTTCACAGTGCCATCCGGCTGTACATGTCGTCGGTCCCGTCCAGCCGCTACCACCGCATTGGCCGTACGGCGTTTGTTGGGCGGAGGTTGTCTGGGCCAGTACCACTAGCACGGCGAGGCTGATGTCTGATCTCATCGCGAGAGATGAAGATATGGGGTTGTCACGCTCACAGAATCTCGAAAAAACGCACCCTCAGGATTGTCTCGAGGGAGCCTGGCAGGTTTTACATGAAATGCTGGAGCACTTGCCTCCCGTTCGCAATCAAACATACAAGAAAACCACTCATCATCACGGACCAAAATTGACTTACAAGGCCAGGCCAACTGCCAAAACACGCATCACTGCGCTTGGTGGAAAATCCCACGCGATCATGATCGCGATCTTGACGAATGCAATGAGCTGAAAGCTGCAATGGTGGCGGCGAAGAGAGCGGAAGTTGCTCCGAAACAAGAAGATGGAAGGTACGTGAGATGCAGAAAGGGCCCGTTTTCAGCATATGGGAGAAGACCATTCTCTTTTGAGGGCGGAGTGTCGCTCTCAGAGTGCCCGAAGAGGAAATATCACGACACCAAGGAGGGTTGTATCACGTAGACTACCGCTGGCCGAAAGAGGCAACTTTGCTTGCTTGCCTCCGTTCTCCGACTTACCCCTCAATCAGAGGCCAGGGCCAGGGCTACGCAGATGGCAGTCGCCGGTTGGAGTCAATTTACGCTTGTTTCGAAGCGGGCGGGTATTGAGATGCTTAATTGGTTTGACGTGTTCAACCCTTGACCGTTGTCGCCTACTTACTTGATTCACAATATGGGGTCGGAGAGATTGAAGGGGCCCCGGATCTGGAAAGCTTGTTTCCCTTCTTCGGATCATCATGCTATTCGCTACAACGTATCTCCAAAAGGCAAGTATTCGCCTAGGAGGGGAGGGGATATCTGCGAGCTGGTCGGTTTCTTCCGACTCATGGAGTGCAGTTCGTCAACATCAGACGAATGCGCTCTGCGGCTCATGTTTTGTACACGGCTCCCGGCACGCTGATCGACCCGACTTGCCGGCCCCGCACCCGAAAGCGCCTAGCCGTTGTGATCTGGGCACACAGCGGGCAGCTGTTCTCCTACCCTTTCTTCGGCCCTCATGAGCTGGCGCGATGAATACCTTATAGTCTGCCAACCTCAAGCCATCATGTTGACCCACGTCTTTGGGTAGGGTCTGACGGCGCCTCGCGGGCTCGGCGTGATGCTCTCCCAGTAATCCCAAAAGATGGGTGCCCCAATATCGCTGGTAATCCTAAGGCCAGTGTATCGTAATAGGTGGTTGTTGAGTAGAGTTCCGGGCCGCCTCTATGGCCAAACTAATGAAACGCATAGGCATCGCTGTATCCTTCGCTTCGGAGACTTCGTCTGGTAGCTTTTTGATAACGTGATGCCGGCACTAATTTGGCCTGCACGCGGACGCCAAACCAGACCAGATTACAGTATGCACTTCTGTCTCGAAAGATATTTCTCACTCGCGGCAGTGTATGCTCTCTGAAATGGATTCATTCATCGCTTCGGCGGTCCCGGCGGGGGCGGATTTGTCGTTCCCCGGAACTGATTTTTCAGCTCCTCGATAAAATATTGCAAAAAGCCTCGGTCTTCAGGATTCGCTATAACTCAGCACGTCAGCTACCCTCTCTTCAACCAAGTCCCAGCGTGACTCTCAAGTTCGAACGTACCAGTCGCCTGTCCTTGGCGCAGCGGTTCATGCGGCATAGGCCCATTCCGCTTCTCGTCGACGTATCGGTGGATTCGACCGACGCCGCGGTGGAAGCCAGGACTTCTAAGGATCTGTAGATTGACATTCGAGGTTAGCTTGCTGCGTAGGGCGGGGAGGATGGAGGGAATCGCATACTTGGCGGATAATCACATCCTCGAAGGCCACAAGGGCGCGAATTAGCAAGTTCAAAGGCGGAGCCATATTCAACGCGATATTCAATACGAGAGGCTCATAGATGAGGTTGCGAGAGGGACTCGCTCTTTGTGCGACAGATGGCCGATTGATAATCCTCGTGGAGCTTTGAAGCTTTCCCGGTGGTCAGCAAAGGGTGGCGACCGGACCATCGGCAAAATAAAGTGGAGATCTCAAAAGATTAGTCATCGACTTGGAAGCATCATGCATTTGGCCGCTCATTGGTCGAAGCGCGTCTGCGTATTCCTGCTAGAGTACGTACCTTCATGGAAATATTCACAACATTTTCGCAAACCTCCCGCCGCGAGCATACTCAGGCAGCAGAATTGCGAGAAAAAGCATGAGCAGCGTTCGAAGTGTCCATGACCTAGTGGTGGAATGGTAAAGCGTGATTGGTCCCGAAAGGGTTGCGAGTTCGAGTACAAGTGTACCCACAAAGATTGGTGGTCCTACATAATGCCACAGACAGTTCATCTTTGTTTCTTTCGAATCACGATCTAGTTCTCTTGCTGTCATTAATTATGACGCAAAGAAAATTTGATCCGATGGAGCCTCACGATGCAAATTGTTTGGTGGATGTGGCTTTTACGATTTTACCACACTTAATATGCAAGGGCAGATATCGTATGGTATTGAATTCTACGGAACAACTTTGATATTCTATTTTGCCATCCGCATTGTCCTTGGTATATGAGACTGTTCCCACATTCAAAGGACTGAAGTTCTTGACGGTTGCATGGACTTCGTGTCTTGAACACATGTAAACCACATCGATGCTTCCGGGGCAACTCGAGTCTCTTTGGCGGTATTAGTGCGCCAACCTCTTGAGGAGGATATCAGTAGCCATGCATATCCTGCAAAACCCCTAGACCTTTGGTTTGCTGTGATATAGCTACGCAGTGTTCAAGTCGGTAGAGTGAGCTTGTAACGCGGTCCACGGACGCGGGAGTTAATGGGTATAAGATGCCATTGGGCTAGGTAATCACCACAACATGCCGTGACTGATAGTCCGGTGATAGCCTGGATATCTCAGCCAAAACGTTGTGCCATCAATGCATCTGAGGCGTGGGAAATCCTAAATCTTGGTGTGGTAGAAAGAATCATTCGAATCGGTACGTGGAGAGGAATCTTCAACCAGCAAATTGATCCCACTCACCCCAGTTGAGGGGTAGCCCTATATCGAGGTTAGCCTCCAAAGCGTTATCGACTGCCGATAGGTTGAAGCTCGGATCGAAGTGGCCAAAGACATCTAGATGCGGCATCGCATCGACAATCGAAAAGTCAATCGCTTCCAGCGCCGGGAGCTCGGCGGTTGACGCAGGAGCCAAGGGAGCCGACGGCGGCTCGGCCGGTGCCCCGTCAACCACCAAAGGCTCGTCGATTTTACCATTCACAGGTACGTCGACAACAGCAGCAGCCGATGGCAAAGCCGCACCCCCTTCTTGGGCAATGGAGTTTGCAGCCCGCTCCATCTCTCGCAGGATTCGCTCGCCCAGTCCCGCGACGACCCGTGCGCTCCAGAAGACGTCGCCGAACCGCTTCATGAGCTCCGAGTTGGACTTGAATGCGCTGCGGGCGCGGGCGCGGAACATGGGAAGGGCACTGTGTCGCATTTTGCGGTACTCGACGCTGAGGGCTAGAGAGAGGGCATATGGGACGAGAGGGACCGGGCTGAGGTGATCGCGGCGGATGGCGGAGGATATTCGCTCGGCTGCGAGAGAGCGTCGTGCGTTTGCTGAGGGCGGTGGTACTGATGACGCGTATTGTGCTGGGGGTCCTGGTCTGGATAAGCGGCATGAGAGGATGATTACGGCGTGGTAGAAGACCTCTATTGTGGCTTTTGAGGGTTAGTATTGCATACTGACATGGGGTGAGAGAAGAGCTTCTTGAACATACCAAGAAGCGGCGTGGGAACCTGCAACGCATTGGCTTCGAGGATCATAGGCTCGAGGACTGGTAAATCGATAAAGGGCTTTGCTTCCAGCGACTGAGCAATAACACCCGGACGATAGAGCTCAATCACCTTATCCAGCCACTGCACGACCGATAGGAAAAGTTGGAAGCAGGGCGCTTGTCTGCGGAAACAGTCGTCTAGCCCGGGACCGATGTCACCCTCGTGCAGGACGCAAGGTCTTCCGTAGGTCGCCGCGTTGATACGATCTAGTGCCCAAACAGCGCAAAAAAGGGTATCAAGAGAGTCGTTGCTGGAGTGAAAGAGGTGCAGCCCGAGGGTCTGCGAATGGTGCGCGGCCCTGGCGCCAAGTTGAGCAGGCAAATCTGCTTCATCAGCACCTGAAGGCTGGGCATACAGTGATAGCATGCACAAGGCACGTATGTGTATCGTCCGGTCCGAGATCAAGCTCGTATCTAGGATGGCCCGTATAGAGCTAGACAATGTCTGGGAGAAGTCTTGGTAAGAGAGCCTCTTATTCCCCTGCGTAGCGAGGCGCAAGTGGCTCTTCATGTCAGGGTCAGTGGCAGCAGCCAGACATACCACTTGTCGCATGACAATACCTGCTGGGGAATCGCCATCATCCAAAGCCTCGTCAGGGATTAGGCCAAAAATAGGATGGATCTTATCTTGGTACACCTTGTGGAGATGTTTATAGTCCTTCTCCGGTGGAACACAGGTGAGACAATTCTGCTTGACATAAGGCAGCAAGACCTTGTCGATAATGGCCGACGGACGCGAAACAACGGAGGTGGTCGACTGTGCCGAAGCGGCATTGAGTGACGGAAGCCAGACACCCACCTCGGCCTTCTGTGTAGGATTAGCGGCCGGATCTGAGTCGGCGGCCTCGGCGAACATGCCCTCCGGGTTAAGATCGCCAACGAAGCGCGTCTGTGGAGTCTGCGCTGGCTCCGAATGGCCCGCCGTGGCAGATTCACGGCGAACAGGGGTCGTGGACAGCACGGCATCAGCGTTCACAGACGCTGAGTGACGATGTTTGCTTGGCGAACTAGTGCCGGCGATGACATGTTGTCTGGGAAGAAAGGGTTCAGTCAGCCAAAGGTGATCATCAAAGTTGCCTGATTAGGAAACCAACCCAGCGTTGTCCGGCGGCGAAGAACCCGCACACCCGTCATGGGCGGGCTCCAACGGCGGAGGTTCCCCGTGGATGCAGCGTTTCTATAATTGTCATGTAAGAAGAAATGCGTCTAAGTCGAGTGGAATCGTTTTTGGTTCGAGCGGACCTTCTTTCTGCGACATGATTCGCAGGCCTGCAGAACCTGCTTCCGCTTCAAGGGAAGCCCCGAAGAGTCGGAGCCGACAAATTTGACGCCTTTAGCGGGGTTGCTCATCGTCCCGACGCAATGGTGACTCCGAACGGAATAAGAGATGGAGAGGTCTTAAGCAAGCGAAGCATCATCACCGCAGATCGCCGTCACGAGGGGGGAATGAAAAGTGAGTTGTAACACGCGAGATGAGAGACGGTGAAGGACGGGTGATTTGGTGTAAGGCGGCGGAAGCGGTTGACGCAGCTAAAGTGACTGGACTCCATGGTGTGGGCGGGCGGTGCGGGCGGCCGGGGGGTGACCTGCAAGGTGTGACTCGACGCGGAGCTTAGTCAGACGCGGGATTTCTCGGTGTAATCTCGGTGGAACCATCACACCTTGGCGTCACCGAGGTGAACAGTCGCAATTCAACAAATGCATGGCAGGACGCCGACGCGGGAGTAACTCGCTTTGTCAAGTCATTAGGTTTGGAACTGTGAACTTAATGAAGACCAGTCCTTTTTTCAGTCTCACTTGATATTCCAGGTATAATTTGAGGGCATTGCCCGAACGCCATCGCTATGCTGAAATCAACCACTCGTCCCCGTCGTGGGATAGAACACCCGTCAATATCTCAGAAGTTAGAAAAGTAATCACTCTGCTCGGCCTCCTAGGCCGCTCTTAACACCTTCTAGTACCACTCCCCAGCCACCTCCATGATTCTTGTCCTGCACAGCTTCACTTAGCCTACCCGTCACCAGCTTTCTCACGAGGAGTGTGTCTCGCGCTCTCTTCAGCTTCTTTCCATCTTCGCGAGAAAGGAAGTCCTCGAACCAGGCCTCCTCTGCCGCATCAAAGGGCAACCCAATAAGCTCAGTTGACCTTGCGGCTGTCTCTTCGTTCGCAGGAGCGCCAATCACGTTGGAGACAAGCTGGCGGAACAGCTGTGCCCTGACAGCATCGGCGTGGGTTCTGGAAAAGTAGAGGGCTTCGGTGACGCTAGTTCTTGACATGGCGTCGAAGAGAAGCTCGAGAGCCTCGGATGTCTTGAGAATTGGCTGGACAGTGTGGAAGTATGAGAGAGGCAGGGTGTAGTCGCCGTCGGGAGCATTGCGCACAAGCGCTGTCATGATCTCATCGGCAAAGTCGGTAGTTAGGGAAGGGTGCGCAATATACTCGAGTGCTTTCTGTTGGTAGTTCGAGTAATTAGTAAGTGAAGTGTTGCCCAGTGACAACAGTTTGGTTGGAGGCGCGTACCTCGAATTGTTGATGATCCAGAAGCCAAAGACCCTTCATGAAGATCTGATAGTTCTTGGGAACACCGGACGTGACGGCGAACTTTGACGATGCCTGGGATCTAGTCTGGCTCGTGTCAAAGTCGAGCAGGATGTAGTAGAAGATCGAGAGTCGGTGGTGCGTTGACATAGTGGCTTCGCATAGTTGCTGGTGTAGTGTGCGCAGAGCATTCTCGGTTTTGGGAGGGTATGTCTTGGCTGATTTCCAAGGTCAGTCATAGAGGATCTCGAGGCGACTGGGAGGAAGCATACACTTGGTGAGACCCAAGGCTTTCAGGACCCGGTCGATGAAGAGGGCGCCATCGAGGCTCTTGCGGTAGGTGTCGATTTCCTGAACGGACTTGCGATCGTAAGGGAACTGCTCCGCCCCAAAGACGTGATCGAAGTTGGTGTAGTCGAACATCTTGAGGTGTGGTGGATCAGCGATGCCTCTGTAGGATACTGGAGACCACAAGCTTGCTGTCAGTTTAGGCGGAGTGTTTTGGTCGTCTTTTTTTGAGTTGGCGGGATGAAATGCGACGGCTTTGCGCCGGGCAAAGATCGATGTAGAGCTTCAGCCACACTTCGGAAGATAGGAAGCACCAGCCACAGTCGCGACTTGACGTGTCTCCGCAGCCTTGTGGCGGGTGGGGGCGGGCGGTGTGGGCTGTTTGTTTACAATCGACCTAATCGGTGAGCGATTCAAACAAATCAAAGTGGGGGAAAGTGTGGGAGCAAACAATACAATTGCGTTTTCCCTTTTCCCTTTTCGCATCCGGCATCACCAGATTCTATTACCGCAGCACCACTTTGCGCCTGCTGCGTTTTCTTTTTCATTCTTGCTTGGCTTCTTGTCACCTTGATTGAGATACCCCACGCACTTTTGCCTTTGCGTTCATTCGCTTCACACACGACTAACCTACAACCTCACCACAAGCATAATGTCGGCCCGCCCACGCCGTGCGACGCGCCGCCAGGCCATCGTCGACTCATCCGACGACGATGAGATCGCAAACACCACCGTAAAGAGAGAGGAAGAGAGCGAGGAAGAGTTCGCCCCCGAGCCATCAAAAAGCCCAGTACGCCGACCAACACGCGCCCGCAAGAGCGCTGCGCCCTCATCTACGCCTGCTCCAACAGCGCCTCGCCGCCGCGGCAGACCTAAGAAGAATGCCGACACTACCGTGGCCGAGGAGGCCACGAAGCTTGAGGAGGAGGCTTCGGTTGCAGATGTAACGTCCATCGCAGAGGCGCCTTCAGCAGTGGAGGAACCATCGATGGCGGATGAGACATCCTTTGCCGAAGACCCCTCGGCGCATGACATCGCTCCCTCAATAGAGCCTAGCGAAATCTTCGACCCCGACCAAACTATTAGCAAGAAAGAGCCGCCATCCTCAGCAAGAAAGCCGTCTCCCAGAAAGCCCAGGATGAGCGCTGCGCCTAGAGCTTCCACCAAGTCTGCGACACCAGCATCCATACGCAAGCCATCCGCTACTCCCGAGCCCTCCCGGGTCCATGCAGAGCCTCTCGCCGACATCACAGCTTCTTCAGTCAACGAGCAGCGACCGGTTGCAGACGAGACGCAGGCCACCTTCAAGCCTGTACGCGCGATGGACACCGTCATGGAGAAGCCAATGGACATTGTCTTGAAGTCGCGCACCCTGACCGTGCCGGTGGTCGAGGACACAACTCCCAAGCCTCGCCTGGTCATCTCCTACCTGATTCTTACCAACTTCAAGAGTTATGCTGGTCGTCAGGAAGTCGGTCCTTTCCATGGATCATTCTCCTCCGTTGTTGGCCCTAACGGTTCTGGAAAGTCCAACGTTATTGACTCCCTCTTGTTCGTCTTTGGCTTCCGTGCAAGCAAGATGCGTCAGGGCAAGCTTTCTGCCTTGATTCACAATTCAGCCCAGCACCCGAATTTGGACCATTGCGAGGTCTCTGTGCACTTCAGAGAAGTCATGGATCAGGTTAGCTGCGTCAAATGTTTCGTGCGAATAGTCGCTAACCATACGTAGCCCGGTGGTGGACATGAAGTCATTCCCGATTCCGATCTCATCATTTCCCGCAAAGCCTTCAAGAACAACTCTAGCACATACTACATCAACGGCAAAGCCTCCAACTTCACCACAGTCACCACCCTCCTTCGCGACCGCGGCATCGACCTTGACCACAAACGTTTCCTGATTCTGCAGGGTGAGGTCGAGTCCATCGCCCAGATGAAGCCGAAGGCTGCCAACGAACATGACGACGGTCTTCTCGAATATCTGGAGGATATCATCGGCACTTCAAAGTACAAGACGCCTATTGAGGAATCCGCCACCGAGGTTGAGACTCTCAATGAAATCTGCATGGAGAAGAGTGGTCGCGTTCAACACGTTGAGAAGGAGAAGAACGGCCTCGAAGACAAGAAGAACAAGGCTATTGCATACATCCGCGACGAGAACGAGCTCACAACAAAGAAGTCTGCGCTGTACCAACTCTACATTGGCGAGTGCAACGACAACGTTGCTGTTACTGAGGAAGCAATCAGTCAGATGCAGGCGCAGCTCGACGATGAGTTGGAGAAGCATCATGGCGGCGAAAAGGTCATCAAGGAGCTCCAAAAGTCATACTCTCGTGGAAGCAAGGAGTTTGAGGCGCAAGCGAAAGAAACCGAGGCTCTTGTTAAGGAGATGGCCAAGTTCGAGCAAGAGCGCGTCAAGTTTGACGAGAAGAAGAAGTTCCTCAACGACAAGCAGAAGAAGCTGGACAAGACCATCGCCAACGCCGAAAAGTCCGCTACTGAAGCAGACGAGACCATCGCCCAATGCGCGGAGGAGATTGAGACCCGCGCACAAGAAATCGCATCACTCGAAATCAGAGTGCAAGAAGAGGAGGCGGAGCTCGCGACTATTCGTGAGGGCCTCAAGGGCAAGACTCAAAAGTTCTCCGACCAGATTGCAGTCAAGCAAAAGTCATTGGAGCCCTGGAAGGAGAAGATCAACCAGAAGCAATCAGCCATCGCTGTTGCAGAGAGCGAGATGAACATCCTCGAGGAGAAGGCCAACGCTGGTGCTGTGGCCATTTCTGAAACGGAGGCAAAGATTGCTGCCATTGAGGATGCTCGCGCTGCCAAGACTGAGGAGCTCAAAGAGTGCCAGGCCGAGAAGGCCAAGCTGGAGGAAGAGAGAAAGGAGGCTGAGCACGAGTTGACACGATTCAATGCCCACGAACCCAAGATTCGCGCAAAGGTGTCTAACGCCAGACAGAAGGCGGACGAGGCTCGCTCAAGTTTGTCTAAGACGCAGACTCAGGGCAACGTTCTCACCGCTCTGATGCGCATGCGCGAGTCCGGTCGTATCGACGGGTTCCACGGAAGACTCGGCAACCTCGGCGCAATTGACCAAAAGTACGATGTGGCCATTTCCACGGCCTGCGGTGCCCTCGACAACTTTGTCACCGACACCGTCGAAGCTGGTCAGCAATGCATTGAGTACCTTCGCAAGACCAACTTGGGTCGTGGTAACTTTATGTGTTTGGACAAACTGAGGGTTCGAGACATGAATGCCATTCAAACCCCCGAAAATGCGCCTCGCCTCTTTGACCTTGTCAACCCCAAGGAGGAGAGGTTCCGCCCAGCATTCTACCACGCCCTTCAAGATACCCTTGTGGCCAACGACCTGGCTCAGGCCAACAGAATCGCTTACGGTGCCAGGAGATGGCGCGTGGTTACCTTGGCCGGCGAGCTGATTGACAAGTCTGGTACCATGTCTGGTGGTGGTACAACTGTCAAGCGAGGTCTGATGTCTTCGAAGCTTGTTGCCGAGACTTCCAAGGAACAGGTCTCGAAGCTTGAGGAAGATCGCGATGTTCTCGAGGAGAAGTTTCAAGACTTTCAGGAGCAGCAGCGCGAGCTTGAGACAAGAGTCCGTGAACTCAATGATCAGATCCCTATGCTCGACACCAAGATGCAGAAGATCACTCTTGAGATCGATAGCGCGGCTAGGAACTTGGCCGATGCCCATCGTCGCATCAAGGAGTTGAGCAAGGAGCACCAACCCTCCGCCTCGGATAATAACCGCATTGCGGCTCTTCGCAAGGAAATTGCTAAGCTCAACAAGGAGGTTGAGAAGCTCCACGACGAGACATCTGGAGTTGAGGAAGAGATCAAGGCTTTGCAAGACAAGATCATGCAGGTTGGTGGTGAGAAGCTTCGCCTGCAAAAAGCCAACGTCGACTCTTTGAAAGAGGAGATTGTCTCTCAAAACGAGGAGACATCCAACGCCGAAGTTCGCAAGGTCAAGGCCGAGAAGCAAAAGACGAAGCTCGAGAGAGACCACGCCAAGGCCACCAAGGACATTGAGGTGGCTATTCGCGACCTTGAGAAGCTCGAGCATGAGATAGAAAACCAAGGCGAGAAGGCCGAGTCTCTTCGAGGCCAAGTCGACGAGGCCGAGGAGGGTTTGGCAGCTAAGAAACAAGAGCTGACATCCGTCAAGGCCGAGCTCGATGAGAAGACCGCCGAGTTGAATGCTACTCGGGCCAGCGAGATCGAGATGCGCAACAAGCTTGAGGAGAACCAAAAGGTCCTGACTGAGAACCAAAAGAGACTCATGTACTGGAACGACAAGCTGTCTAAGCTGGTGCTTCAGAACGTGGACGACCTGACCGGAACCTCTAACCCTGCACCCAAGGTCGCCCCTGCCCCGACAGCTGCTGAAGCAGATGATGACGCAGAAGCGGATGGTGACAAGACAGTGACCCAGGACGCTGTCACTGGCGAGGACTCCCAGCCATCCGCCGAAGCCGAGGATGAGGACGATGAGGAAGAGTCTGACGAGTCTCAGCTGCCATCTCAACCAAGCAGTCAAGCACTCGAGCTGCCCGTTTACACTCCTGATGAGCTTGCGGACATGAGCAAGGAGAAACTGAAGGGAGAAATCGCCGCTCTCGAGGAGAAGACACAAAACGTCAACGTCGATCTCGGTGTTCTCGCCGAGTACCGTCGCCGTGTCGAGGAGCACGCCGCCCGCTCATCCGACCTTCAGACCGCCGTCGACCAACGCGACGCAGCCAAGAAGCGCTGTGACGAACTCCGTCGCCTGCGTCTGGAGGGCTTCATGGAAGGCTTCAGCACCATCTCTCTCCGCCTCAAGGAGATGTACCAAATGATTACAATGGGTGGTAACGCCGAGCTTGAGTTGGTCGACTCCCTGGACCCCTTCAGCGAAGGTATCCTCTTCAGTGTCATGCCCCCAAAGAAGTCGTGGAAGAACATCAGCAACTTGTCTGGTGGTGAGAAGACACTGAGCAGTTTGGCGCTTGTCTTTGCTCTGCACCACTACAAGCCAACGCCACTGTACGTCATGGACGAGATTGACGCTGCCTTGGACTTCAGAAACGTAAGTTCTTACCCTCGCCATTAGTTGTTGCGATTCATCCTTGCTAACATGGTCACTTTCAGGTCTCAATCGTTGCCAACTACATCAAAGAGCGCACGAAGAACGCCCAGTTCATTGTCATTTCGCTCCGAAACAACATGTTCGAGCTGGCTGCCCGTCTCGTTGGTGTCTACAAGGTGAATCATATGACGAAGAGCGTGACGATCGAGAACCAGGACTACATCGTGCGGACACGGGTGCAGGGCCATGGTCAAGGCCAGATTCAGCAAGCCACGCAACAGACGACGATGGCGCGATGATGGAATATGGGAAGTGAGAGAAGGGGAGAGTCTTACGAATCATGGGTTCATTGCTATTTTGCGCGCGTTTTGAGTTGATCATGCCTGTTAATATTGTCGGCCCCTTGGGGTGGCCATGGGTCGGTTCTTTGTGTGTCATCGGTATAATGACTGTACGAGGGGAGGCGCATCATGGATGTAATGATTGAAAAGAAAATTGGAGGCTTTTCTGGCTTTGTTCTACACATCTTGTCTGACTTGAGTGAGTTCTCATCTTTCGCCTCGGCGCGTGATTGCTGTGAGTGAACCCCTCTACCTTTAGTTTGTGTCGCCTTTCGCTTCTTGGTTTGGTCTTGTTGAACCTCAAGTGCGTGATCTTGTCCCCCTCATTTACTCTTCTCTGTCTCATTCTGGGAGATACCACAAGGTTTTGGTCGAATTTCCGCTCGATATAGAGATGTGAGTCAGCAATATTCGCTTGGCGAACGGCACTCATGCCGAGAGTCTTTTTTGAACTCTCACGAGATGAAATCACGGCCTTGACGGTGAGAGTGGCTGAAACGATAGTAGTCTCTATCAGTCCGATCCAAGGAGCGATTGAATGGAGCATCGTGGGCACGAATCAAAATCTATCGAAGACAAAAACTTGATGGAATACGGTGATTGAACATGAGCCGTAGTGCAGCTCGGGGATGTCAGTATGGTACCTGCATGAACTTGACGGCGTACCGCGTCGGTCTCGGACGCGCATGCAGCTGAACAGCACAAGGTCACCATGGTGCGCCGCGGAGTAGCTGGGCCCGGTGTTGGACGACACCTAGTCAGTGGTACCGTGATGCTTTCATCGTTAATGTCTGGAAGCGATGGCATCACAGCGATAGTGCTTCGTGTTGTTGCTATTGCTGTTTCCTAGTCTCTCACCGAGGCACTGGGCCGGGGTCCAAATGGTGAGGAGTCCAATGCTAGCATTTGTCTCGGCATTATGGTCTATTCTCGGAATAGCGGCATGAGAGAACCAGTTTGCGATAAGTGAAGGTATCGTGAGCCGAGCTCATTACACTCTGTATAAAGGTCTCGGGGGAGCTGAGATACTGAAGGTAAGGGCGACGAGAAAGCCCAACGGGACCAGAGGCCGACGAAGCTCGATAGCCTCCGCCCTCAACACTCGCTCAGTTAATCTCTCTGTTCTTTTCTAATCTGACCACTCTTGCCGCCTTTTCTGACTTTTTAGCCTGAAGTCCAAGATCATTCGTTATCATGTTTGTCTCATCTCTCATTCTTCTCGCAGGAGGCGCGGCAATGGCTGTGGCAGATGGATGCCACGGCGACAACCTACTCCGGGCTATGGAGCGGCACAACGGGACGATGTACTGCTCCATGCTCCTGAACTCTGGTGACGCCACTGGGACGCTGAGTTTACCGGATCCTATGCCGACGAGTTATCCCGCCCTATCCGTAACATCAGCGGTAAGTTGCACTCTACCCATGCCAAGCCCTGTTGATTGTGAAGAATTGAGGACTAATATGCCACAGTGCTCTTGTCTTCTCAGTCTCGACCCAACACCTCGGGCACCTTGCCACGCAAATGCGACGGCAACGCCGGCAGCTGATTACTCTACTGTAGTCGATGATCCCGGAGCAACTAACGCAGCATCAGCCACGGCAGCCTCGGATTCCCATACCATCCCAACAGCCCACGCAACTTTCGAAGGGGGTTACTCTTATTCCTTCCCCGGCCCAGCTATCCCATCCGAGACAGCGTCGAAGTGTGGTTGGGGCGAGGTGACCGCCACAGTCCAAGTCACAGAAACGCAAGTCAGCACGATCTACATCTACAGCTCCGAGATCCCAAACCCAAGCAGCGTGCAGAGCCTTTCGTCCGTGAGTGACGGGGACAGCGGTGGTCGGCCTGTCCCGCTTTCCACGACGAAGACTATCACCGGCAACGCTAGTGGGACTGCATCTGGATTCGTGTCGACTGTAACGTTGATCGGAGACTCTACCGTTAGTTTGCCCACGCAACCTGGGACGACGGTTGAATCGACGGCAGCAGTGCCAAGAGTGATTACGATTACCAACGGGAACTACACGACAGTCAAGACGGTTTTTGGGAGCGCCTCTGAGCCGAGTTCTACAAGGTCCATGGTGGGAATCACTTCGGTTATCAACGGGGTTACAACGACCATCACTGGAGCTCCTGGATCGTCTTCTTGGAGTCTGTCTTGGCTTTCTAGCACTACTGGTGCTCCGAGCCAACAAACAACAGTCGGTACGCCCATTGTTCCACCTGCAGTCACCACAATCACGAGTGATGTCGGCGGGATGGCATCGACTTGGGTCGTTACGCTAAGCGTAAGCACCAGCAGCGGTCCATTCGCCAACAACAGCACACCGACTCAACTCCCGACCCCCTCAGAAACCACCCCGGGTGCCTTCACTGTCTTTACGAGTATCATCAATGGGGATGCTTCGACGTGGACCGTGATAGGTGGCTCAACTCTTGTCGGTTCTCCCAACTCGACCTCGCCCACGTCCACGCCAAGCCCCTCTCAAGCTGCTGAGGTTAGCATCATCACGAGCGTCAATGGAGGGGTTGCTTCTACCTGGACGGTGATTGGAGGCACAACTGTTGGAATTCCGTCAAATGGGAGCGTAGTTCCAACGCCTCCTCTGACTCCATCTGCAACAGAGACTGGGGCATTCAGCGTAATCACAAGCGTGGTTGGTGGTGTTGGCTCGACTTGGACGGTCATCGGAGGTTCAACCCTCGCTAGATCTCCAACTCTTAGTGCTAACCCCTCTATCATCACAAGCATCATTGACGGTGTTGCTTCGTCGTGGACTGTCATCGGAGGCTCTACCATCTCCGTGAACCCCAGTGAGATATCACCGAGTCCGACGGTATCTGGGGCAGCCACGGTAATCACGAGTGTGATAGGAGGGGTCGGGTCAACCTGGATTGTTATTGGAGGCTCGACAATCGCGAACCCAACAAATGCCACGGGATCGATTCCTACACCGGCCACAACTGGCGATGTAGTTGTGGTCACGAGCATAGTTGGAGGTGTCGCCTCTTCATGGACGGTCATTGGAGGCTCAACAGTCAGTCCGGTGCCAAGCGCTACGACTGCTCCATCTGATCTGCCACCTGGTGCGAGCGTCGTTACCAGCGTCATCGGGGGAGTTGCTTCTTCATGGACGGTGATCGGTGGCTCTACTATCAGTCCGACTGCAAGCCCACCTTCTGCTTCGGGCGAACTACCACCCGGCGCAACTGTCATCACGAGCGTTATTGGGGGCATCGCCTCGTCTTGGACAGTAATCGGAGGCTCAACCATCTTCGCTTCGTCCGACGCCACAGCAGGGTCTCCCACGGCAACCGCTACTCCGACAGTCATTACTAGTGTCATTGATGGTGTGGCTTCAACGTGGACAGTCGTCGACGGTTCCACCATTTTTGGTACCCTGACGCCAGGCTCTTTGAGTCTGATAACACCGACAGCTGTCAGCCTGACTGGCGGCGCCACGTTCGTGAGCACTGTCAATGGTACAGCCCCGACAGCGGGTAGCTCATCATCCACGACTGGGTTTTCATCTGCGCCGGCGAGTACCTCGGCGACCTCAACCTCAATTCATGACTCCGCTTTCACGGGTATCTCGGTCATTGTAGCGCAAAATGCGACTTCGTGCTACGCCCTTCCAACACCTACAGCATCGCTACATGAGTCTCTCCTGAACGTCACTAACCGTACTCCTCCGTACATCGACGCGTTCTACCTCAATGAGACTACGCACTCCGTTCAGTACCTCCGCCTGATAGACAATGCCACCAACCCAGTTCTCGTCGACGTCTCCGACCCATCAAGACTTGGAATCCTTGACAAAGCCGGCAATGTGCTCTCCATCGACAGCGAGGGTTTGCACTTTGCCTCGGCCAATTGCTCACCCAAGATTGACGTCTTCATCTCTGGTTTTTTCCAGCAACTGAACACCCTGACAAATTCGACCTGTACAAACACTACTGATATCCCAGTAAACGGCACAAATCCTCGCCGTCTTCCCGTTTTCAAAGGGACGTTGGCCGAGATGGCACAAGACGCATTCGACATCACTCTCCATCTCAAAGACCAGTGCGGTAATCCTGCCCGTGCTGATCTGCCAGTATCAGTCGCGCTAGGTGATACCCAATGCATTGTTCTCCCAGATGTCACGGGAGACTTTGTCGCGAATTGCGCATTCCCGGGAAGCGGGAGCGATTCCATGGAGTGTGAGACGTCTGTTCAACAGACTCTGGATCATTTGACGCAGGGATCTCTGGTGGGGAGTTGTCCACCTCTCACGTCGGTGTGGAGTCTGCTCTTCCAGCAACTCGGCAGTGTTATCAACGTCGACGAGCTTCTGCAGCCCTTCATCGATGCTGGATTACAACTTGGCTCTGATGCCGGCAAGGGAATCCTGGCTGTCATTGACAGCTTTATGAACCTTTACGATTTCTCGGCCGCAACGTTCAAGAACTCGACTTCGGGCTCTGGATCGGGTCTAGGTGATATTGTTGAGGGATACGGTGTCACAACTATCAAGACGGAAGTCTGCCGTTCTCTCATCTCGACTGAGACGTTGAACCTCACTTTCACGGCTGGAACCTCCACTACACCCATCTCACTCGCGAACATAACGGCCCTACCCTCATCAGGCCCAGAGTACGAGCGCAACATCACGGACCCGACAGCACTTGCATGCTGCCCGAATGCAAACGCTTGCATCGTGCAAGATGGAGAACGGTTCTACCCACCCGAAGCCTCTATCCCTGACTCTGACTGCCTCTGCGGCAAGACTCTGGAGGGCGGGGGTATTGGGTTCCGGACGGGTAGATGCGTTGGGTATGATCAGTGTAACGCGACATCGCCCTGTGCTGGAGGTGGTGTGTGTCTGGTTGATAATTGTTGTGGCTTCAATGTCTGTGTGAATGGGACGGAGTGTTCTGCTCCAAAGGCTGCTAGGATCCGAGTGAATCTGTTCGGGGCGGAGACTTCTGGAGGGCTTTTCTGATTGTTTAGTCATATTTCTACATTTTATGTCGTCTCATTGATTCTGCAAATGACATGCCCAGCTGCTACATCCTTTCAAGCGAGAACAAGAGGAATTGCTCTTCACCCAGTCCTATCCCGCCTGTGTTAATTCATCGACTTTTCATGATGTCGTTGCACGTGAGAGCTGTCATGGCTAGCGCCAACCCGTTGTACTTATAATCCCAAAAGAAAGATACCTGCATGCACGTCGATTTAAGCTACCCTTTTGGCACTGAACCGATACCCTATTCGAGCGATCGGGTTAGCCCGCAGCTACATGGTCTGCATGCGGTAAGACTGATATAACCCATGCAGCTGACGAATCCAAACACCCTGGAATGGCACATTGGCGGGCAGCGTCATTCTCATGATGTTTCTAGCTAATAGAATAATAGCATTGGGTGCGGATTTCTAAGCTGATAGGAAGCCTGTAGAAACGTGCTTTTGTCCATTTGCCCAGCACACGAGACCTATAGCGCTTATACCTAAATAAACAAATTAAATATAAGGTTTATATTTAATTATTTAGCTAATTTCTCGCACTATATTTAATTATTTAACTTATTTAATAAATAATTGATTAATTTAACTAATTTCCTAATTAGGAATTAAATGAAGCTATTACGAAAGTCCTTATAGTACTAATTTATAAACTTTACCTCGATTAGCTCTTCTAATTATAAAATTAACCTCTTATTTCTATAATACTACCGCGAAGCTAGTTCTTAAGATATTAAACCTCCTCTAGTATAAAAGATCTTATTAATAATCGCTATAAAGTTAAAATTAACTTCGCAAGGCTAAATATCCTCTCGTAGTCTATTACTATCGTAAAGATCATAAAAATATTAAGTACAAGCTTACTTAACGTTAAATAGGTTAGCTAATAGTTAATTTACTATTAGATTAGGTTAAGGACCGGCTAAGGGATAATCTATAAGTAATATTAATTAAGCTTAAGCACGTAGTTAATTACTACCTCTATTATTCGAGATATTAACTATTACTAATACTACGAGTCTTCTACGATACTCTCTAAAATCGTAAGGGTAATAAAAATAGCTTATAACTATCGTAACAAAGGAGGAGGACTTAGACAATAAAGAGGAAGAGGACTTACTATCTCGTTTATATACTATTTTTATTAATAATCGTAAAGTCCCTTTTTCATATCAAATAGCTAGTAGCTCTACTCGGGCATATCCTATCTCTTCTCTAACTATCTCAATCCTTACTTAAAGTAAAAAATAATTACTACGGCATAGAGCAAAGAGTTACCTAACTTAGTATAATACTTATTAAGGACTTACTAAGTATTAATAATTAATAATCAGAAGTATCCTCGCAAGTTAAAATTATTACTAAGAAGTAGCTCTGCCCGCTCCTTAAGCATATACTTAAACTAAATATAACGAGGGATATTACTTAAAGTTAGAGGTTAAGAAAGAGGTTAGGATATAAATTAACGACGAGCTAACTACTAACGAAGTAGTATTATTTACGTTAACTACGATTACGACGCTACGATTTAAAAAGCCGTAAGATCTATTTCTTTTTTAAAAGGTTTATTATATAACTTTTTCTACTCCTCAAAATAGTTAATAAGGTACTCGAGACTTACTATTACTTCTTATAAACGGCTATAACTATCTCTTTTACCCTAGCCCTAGTATTTTATTATTTAGAAGTAAAGTAGCTTAAGTACCGCCTTTAGCTTAGCTAGTAGCTACTAATTATTATTATTAAGAACGTCCTCGATAGGGATCTATTATTTTAAATCCTTATAAGCTTAACTAGTTATTAAGAAAGTATAGATCTACTTTCTTTTTTATAAAGAGCGCTATATTATAAAGTATATTAAATTCTACCTTATATTATTATTAAGCGTTAATATAAGCTCCTTATTACGACCTAATATGCATAATAAAGCTAGGGCCTTACTCTATAGGACCTATAGTAGTTACTACACTATATATATAAAAAAACGAACTTAGGGTAACTCCTCTTAGGATAAAAGAACTATAAATAAGTTACGTAATTACGATTATATAATAAAATAAAAAACGGATGCCCGTAAATAAATAGGATGGATAATTATAAATAAGTAAGACGGACGACCGTTCGGTAAATAATCGGATAATATTAAGTAAGAATATTATAAAAAATATATTTAAAAACGAGACTTATATATAATATAAACTAGAGCTAGGCTTAAAAATAGACTTCTTATAGCTTCTTTAGTAATTAACTTAGTATTAGATCTTACGATCGCTTTTAGCTATCCTTATTAAGAACCCCTTTTAATAAAACTATAATTAATTACCGAAGCCTTATTTATCTTACGACTTATAAATATAGTTTTAGGGAAGCTATTTATAACTACGATACTATTTACTTAGTATTCGTAACCTTAACTTCTATTAAATATACTTACTATAACTAGCTAGTTATAATACTTTAATTACTCCTATTTAATAAGTTTACTCTTTAAAAAACTAACTAAATAGTATAAATATATCGACTATTAGTAATAATAATACTACGTAGTTTACTAGGGTAGCTATACCTACTATTTAATAATTATATAACATAATACTTAAACTTAAAAATAAGAACGAATAACTTTATACTTAGTTTATAACGCCCCGACCTCTCTCGGTATTTAGAACTAAGTACCCTAAACTAAAACCCTACAATAGGTCCCCGGATACTCTTTAAGGATTTTTTACTTAAACTAGGGCTTACTTATATTACTATAAAACCTCTTTTATTATTAAAACGGATAAGGTCTATTATATAGCTTTATTTTTTAAAAAAAATACCCTTACTTAGTTCGAACCTTCTATAAGAAACTATTTCGAGAATAAACGTAATATCCAAAATAAAGATACTAAAAAAATCTTTAATAACTATAACGAGTTTAAAAAAAAATTTAAAAAAACCTTTAGTAACCCCGATAAAGAACGAATTACTAAACGAAAACTTATAACCCTTATATAAAAGGGGTTAATTAGTAAGTACGTATTAAAATTTAAGTAAATTACTTCTAAATTTAATTAAAATAATAAGGTACTTATAGTAGCCTTTTATTACGGCCTAAAAAAGGAAGTTAAGGACGACCTCTCCTAATAAGACCGGCCCGATAAACTCTATAATTATATTAATATAATAGTTAAGATTAATAATCAACTCTACGAACGACGCTTTAAATAAAAAGGATAGAATACCTAGAATAACCGAGCTAAACTTAATAGTAAACGTAAATATAAACTAACGACTATTATAATAAGGTATTATAGCGGACTAATAGACCTTAGCGTTACTAAAAGGGAATAACCTCGCTAAAAAAAGGACTTTAAGTACTATAATTATGATAAACTAAGATATATAGCTAGAAACTATTAATAACCTAAGTATATCTAATACTAACCTATCTTAGAAAAGCGAGCTAGCGTTATAAATAAAGAAGTCCCCTATAAGTAACTTTTATAAATAGCTTATTACGATAATAACTATCTTACTTACTAAGATAGTAAGGAACAAATAGGATAATACCTAAAGTAACTTAAAAATAAGGGACAATCCGGATATAATACTATACTATCTATTAGAACCCTAGTAATAATAATAAAAAAAAAAAAAATACCCGCTTACTAACCCTATACTCTTAAAAAAAACAATATTAAATATATTACTACGCTCTCTTAGATTTATAAAAATATAAAAAAAAAAGCCAAAACGGACCCTATTACGAGGGATATACTTTACTTCCTTAAAAAACGGATTAAATAAAGACTCCTAGCTAATATAAAAAAGTAACTCCTTAAATTTAAAAAAAGAGGACCCGATATAAAAAAAATCATAAGTAGCCTCGTCTATATAGCATAACAAAACCACATAAACTAAAAACTACTTACTAAATTAAAGGCTAACTTAAGCAAAATTCTGACTAAGTCTATTTATATAATAAGACGGGTAGACGCTAACAAAAAATTCATTTATAAAGTTAAAAAATAGCTTAAGGACCTCGCACACAAAAATAAAATCGAAATATTTAAAAAGCCGACTCTTAACTTCGGAATTATAAAAAAAAAAAAAATTAACTTTAACCTCAGAAAAGAAAAAGATATTAAAATAAGAACTAGCTCCTTTTATTTTAACAAAACAAAATTACTTTATAATTTAGATAAACCTCGTAACGTCGTTTAATAACGTACTTAAATAAAGATCGATTATAAAGCACCGCTTAACGTTAATAATACTAACTTTAAAAAAAATAATAACAAACCATAATATAAACATATTTATCTATTTAAAAATAACTAAACTATTTAGTTCTACAGAACTAAAAAATATAAAAAAGTTACAATAACCCCCTACACAGATAAAAACCACTCTCTACTTAACCCCGAGGACCCCTTTTATAAAGAATTATTTTAAACAGAGTACCTAGATAATAAATACCTTTAGTACCTCGCATATAAATAAAATAGTCGCTTCTACCTATAAAGACATAATAATAAGCCTATTAAGGATATCTATATAAAAGACTAATTACCTAGCTAGACGTTACTAAGTCTTAATAGCGACAATAAAGTAATATTTAGCCCAGACCCTAGCTTTCTTATAAAGTACCTTAATAGTAAATATATAAAATAAAAAAACTATAAACACGACTAATATTAAGTCTACTATATTAAAAAGGCTAAGGTATAAAGAGAATAATAAAAACTACGCAAGTAAAGTACTCGCTAAAAAAAGCGTATATTAAAAAACTAAAAAAGCTAATTGTAAAAGAACGACGAAAAGCGAGAATAAAAAAAAAGTTCTTACGTATAACCCGATAATATAACGACGTATACTTATAAATTAACTTCGATATCTACGGATGAGGACTAAATACTATTATTAATAGCAGCGCATAAGAAACCTATATCTTACT